TGTGTTGTACCACGCTGAGGTAGACCAAGAAAAATCCCACACAGTAAGGCACAGCTGAAAGGGAAACAAATTTAAGACAAATGATTACATGTAATAACGTGTTCCCAAATACGGAGGACTATGGGGAAGGGGTGGACAGGGTAGGAGTCAGCATTTGTGCCTAAGTGTGGAGAGAGGAGGAGCAGGGTGGGTGTTGATGGAAGAGAAGTCTCCAGTAGGTCAGCGGTTGACATACAGATGCGGGCGAGCTAATGGGATGTTACATGTTAATTCAGAAGAGTTTTAAATCCTTCTTCCTCCCCACCTATGTCTCCTCTCCACCCCCATCAACTAATATAGCCTCTTCCAGGAGAAAAATATGAAAGATTTTTAAAAGAATAGAAAAGAGATTTATTTTACTTTTTGAGTTTGGTTTAGCACCAGAAAGATGAGAAAATGGCAACTTTAGGCTGCTTCATATCTGAGTCCCAAATTGCCAAGGATAAAACGAAAGATGCAGATTCTGCCAATTTATCCATCAATCTAAAGACTCGGAGAACCACCTCCAGGTTCCATCAGGATGGTGGAGCAGGTAAACTCTGTGCTCACCTCCTCCCAGGACCACGCCAAAAATACAACTGAATTCTAGACCAAACAACTTGGAGGACCATCTGAAGACCAGCTGACCAAATGCCCCCTTCTGAACAGGCTGGAGAGCATCAATAGACTCTGTTCTGTTTCCATTTCCCAGTACTATATTCATCTGGAAGATGGAAATAATACCCACCCTTAGTTTGCTATGACAAATGAAGAAGTACACACAACGCTACTGACACAGTGGCTAGCACGTCAATAATAGTCTTTGGAGGGGAAAAATGATGCAAAAATTTCTTCTGCTCACCTCGTCCCAATTCCTCCACTCAGGTGAAGTTTAACCTGCTATTAAATTTACAACCAACAGAAGGCGGCAGATTTCTACAAAAGTCCACGTGGGGAAGTGTCACATGGCCTGAAATCACTGGCAGCTTAAAGATTTCCCAGCAACGTATACATTTTATTCACGCCTACAGCTTTCTCCCACGTACCCACGGCTACCTTCCCCAAGGACCGTTTCCAGGGATGGTTGGTGAGGACAACCTTCATCTGCCCTCTCTCTTTAAAAACTATTATTCTTTATTGATTTTAGAGAGGGAGGGAGGGAGAGGGAGAGAGAGACAGAAACATCGATGAGAGAGAAACAATGATTGGCTGCCTCCTGCATGCCCCCTATGGGAGATTGAGCCTGCAACCTGGGCATGTGCCCTGAGTGGGTATCAAACTGGCAACCTCTTGCTATGTGGGTCGATGCTCAACCACTGAGCCACACTGACCGGGCCACCCGCCCTCTCTCTCTTTTTTTTTTTTAATCCTCACCCGAGGATATTTTTCCATTTTTTGTACAGATAGAGTGGGAGGGAGAGAGGAAGGGAGAGAGAGAGAGAAACATTGACGTGAAGGGACACATCGAGTGGCTGCCACCCGCACGGCCAACCAGGGCTGGGGACAATCTGCAACCGAAGTACGTGCCCTTAGCGGGAACTGAACCCGGGTCTCTCCGGACCGCAGGCCGACGCTCTAACCGCTGAGCCAAGCCGGCCAGGGCCACCCGCCCTCTCTTTATGGGGATGTTTAGATTGCTCAGCATGTCTTCATGGGTATTGATAAGAAAAACACTTCTGAGATGTTCTAAATTAAATTACAGCAGCTGAAGAGAAGCAGACGGAACAGCTAGCCCGTTGATAGCTGTGGCCCAGCTAACCGAGGACTGCTCACAGTCATGTGTGACCGTTGGAATTTTGGATTCATTTCCAGGTGGCTTTTTTCCACGATTATTCTAAAGAAAGAAAAGCCAGATGCCTTCGAACCCCAGCAGCCTCTGCTTGTAAGGAATTTTCCAGACTTGCCCAAAACCTACCCAAGGGAGCAAACTGCCCCTCTTCCGGCTTCACCTCTTCCGGCCCCTTGGTCTGCAGCTCAGGTACATTCTTTCAAAGGGCGGCCACGCCTTCCCCTCATCACGTGGCTCAGGAGCTGAGCGCACCTGCCTGGGGCGAGTCCGAGGAACGTCTCTTCCTCAGACCTGGGCGCCCAGCTCCACGCCATGGCATAACAGAGAAGTTTCGAGTCTCCAGTTCTACTGAGAATGACATTAAACGAATCTCAAGGAGCCGAGTGGTCCCTAGGAAAGAAGCTTGACTATTTGTGAAACCGAGAACTGGGTTCTGGAGCGTCCCCACCCCGTCCTCTGACCCGTAGGCGACTCGGGTCTCCTCTGGAACCTGAAGGGGAAGCAGCTGCTCCCGAGAAATGCACAGGCAAGGAGACAGGTAAGGTGGCCCCGGTTCTTCCCTTGAAACAGCAGACAGCTGTGACTTATCCTTACCCGCGTTCACCAGGTTCAAGGTGGGGAAGGGTTCACATTGCACAGTGACGACCCACTTCCAAAGGCAATAACATCCCAACGACCACACAGACCAAGTGTCAACATGAAAAGATCAGCCTACTTCCCCAGGAGACAAACAACAAAACAAGACAAAGACGTAACCGTCAAGCAGAGAAACCAACCCCTGAATAATGTATGTCTGCCTGTCTAAGGGAGTGAAAAGAAATAAAGGGAGCAGAAGTAACTTGCTCAAAAACGTGGACCACAGTATCATGAAACCTTAATAATTCAAACCTCATTTAAATATACACACAGGACTTCAGGCCCTATCAACTGATACCAGTTAATCCGAAAGGAAATAGAATTTGATGGTGGGGAAGTGTATCTTCTAAAAAGAGCAAACGATGCTCAAGTTAAAAACCATTTGCAGCAGAATTTACATATAATCAATATTGTTAACCAATTTTATCAGCTGCCCTCAGCGAAGCTCATGTTTCAAAACCAGAACCAATTTTATCTATTTATTATAGGTGATCCAGTCGAAAACTTCTGGGCAAAAGATGCTTCTTGATTAGCTCTTTGTAAGTACAAAAAAGCAAAAGATGAACGCAGCTAATTCTATAAATTAGTCTATTTTTCTCTATTCTAAATTAATGAGGCTTTATACTATTACCACCTTACTTCTGAGGTAAGCCAAAGTTGTCATAATCAATATTTTTATATGTGTGTTTGAAGGAACATCAGACATAAGCTATACAAAATCAAATTTATATTTTCCATATTAGAATTAATATTAGAAAGAATTGGCTTAAAGGATTCGATATTGAAACTCAATTCTGGCTCAAGTTTACTTATCTTCTTTTTAAAATATATTTTTTTATTGATTTTTTTAGAAAGAGAAGAAGGGAGAGATAGAAATATCGATGTGAGAGAGAAACATCAATTGGTTGCCTCCTGCATGCCCCCCACTGCGGATTGAGCCTGAAACAGGCATGTGCCCCGACCAGGAATCAAACCAGGACCTCTCAGTCCATGGGACAATGCTCAATCCACTGAGCCACACCAGCCAGGCTCACATTTACTTATCTTTAAAATGGAAACAATCATAGTACTTACCTCATAGGATCGCTGTGAGATTTAAATTAAATAATCCATTTAAATGGCTTAGAACAGCACCTGGCATTCAATATATGCTAGCATTATTGCTATTATCGTCATTAGTGTTATTTTGTTTGGAATCATTTTTATATCAGAGATAGCACCTTCTAATTTCCTGGGCAAATATGAAACAGACAATACTTTGTCAATCTTCGACGGTGTCTCCATCCCCACAAAACTCTCAGGGCTTGCTTCCCACTGGGTGGAAGGCTGCCCATTAGGAAGAACACGGGTTTGACCCTCAACACTGGATTACTTAATTCTCCTTTAAATACGAAACTAAAAACAACATCTCAGATGAGTTGTGCTTTGGCTCCATACTATCTATTCCGTGGAAAGGAAGACAACTACATTTTTAGTATTTAGTTTGCCCATTGCATATTTCTTTATGCTGAACATTTTTTCTGTCTCAACCATAAAAGAGGAAACACAGATGAAGTAGGTATGCGGGGAAGGTGGCAGTTTGGGGAGGAAAGAAAGAGAATAGTGGAAATTGGAGGCAAATGGTTAAGTGACTGACCCTAACGTGCAAATATGATGAAGCTAATAATACAAATACAATGTTACCCTCTTCCCGATTTATCCAATGTGATGTTGCCTTTCTTTACAAGTTAAGACCCTTGTGTCTCTTCATATCAATGCTTTCTTTCCCATAAGAGACAAAAAGAAGGGCAGTGGAATTCATTTGGTGATTTCAGTGGTCCTACTATTAAAAGGGCTGAGCTGATATGTATGCATGGGTCCGGTGCCTGGCTGACGGGCCAGTCTTCCTGTGCACAATGACCCTGCCCTTCCAGCCTCTGGCTGACCAATGGGAAGAAGGTGATTGTGATCCTCTGTGGGTCACCTCGACACAAATAAATACATGAAAGCTACAGACTGCTCAAATGTATTCTCAAATTTAAAATTAACTATTTCAAAAGAGAAAGATAATAACATCTCCATCTTAAGATTTATTGAAAGAATAACACAAATTACTATTCTAATACATACTATACTCTACAAATATGTTTTCCTCTCTCTCAGATTACATAGTCTGACCCTGGAAATGTAGGGGTAAGTAATGGGAATTACATGCTGATCTGCTCTGAAGACCCTAAAGTATCAGAATCACAAAAGCACTAAAGCAGTATTTTTGTTTTTTGGTAAGGTGACTCTGACCGGGAAAGGTTCATCATTCCACATTAACCGAAGGTGAACCTATTCAATGCAGTTAAAATAATAAATGCTGTTAAGTTGATTTCCCTCAACCACAGCAGAGGTGACTGAATGCTTCACAGACAGTTTTTTGTTTTGTTTTAAAATTGATTTTTAAGAGAAATCAAATCAGCAACCTTTCAGTGCATGGGACAACACCCAACCAGCTGCGCCACACCGGCCGGGGCTGGACACGGCAGCTGGGATGCTAACACCCTGAGTGCACACGGCGTGGAAAGGTTACCTGTCCCAGAGACCGCCAGTCCAAGCCAGCGCTGCCGATGTACACGTGCTGCTTGTCCACGATCCAGAAGGAGGACTGCAGCCGGCCCTTGTTGTACATGGTCATGTTCATGTAGGTCACCTCGGCCCCTAGGAGTTCAAGGAGATCCGTCAGCCTCTGTGGCCAGGCCCCGAACGAGCCATCAGTCATCAACCAGCCCCAGTACTCATGGTTTGCATGGATCACAATTCAGGGAAGCCAAATAGTTACATTAGTTCAGTGCACAGAAGAACCTGAGGAGTTGCTTTGTTCTCAAAGAGAAGAAAGCAAAGGGGTGGTGGGGGCGGGGGGAGTAGCAGCATCTTCCTACGTATAGGAAGAGGGGCTCTGCAGAGCTATGGCTTCTCCCCTCCGGACCGCAGGCCAACGCTCTAACCGCTGAGCCAAACCGCCCAGGGCGAGCTATGGCTTCTCAGCTCAGGTCTGCCTGGGATCAGGTGGCGAGACGGGTGTGTCCTGCTCTTTCTTCTTCCTTCGCAATATTTCCATTCCATTTTGCAATCAGTACTGTGGTCAGTCCTGTCTGGCGGGACAGCTCTCCTCAACAAGAAATCGGCCGCCTCTTACTTTCTATCCATTATTTTCATCCTTTACTCTTTCATTTGTCTACTTCACTTTCCTCCTGGTCACTTAATTTTGATCCGGGTCTCTTCCTCACCTTTCTTTCTTTCTTTCTTTTCTTTTTTTTTTATCCTCACCCGAGGACATTTTTTGATATTTTGTTCAGATAGAGGGAGAGGGAGAGAGAGAGAGAAACATCGACGTGAAAGCGACACATCGAGTGGTTGCCACCCACACGACCCAACCAGGGCCGGGGACAAACTGCAACCAAGGTACGTGCCCTCAGCGAGAACCGAACCCAGGTCTCTCTGGACCGCAGGCCGACGCTCTAACCACTGAGCCAAACCGGCCAGGGCTCTTCCTCACCTTTCTTTATCTGATAGTCCTGAATTGAAGCAACAATGTTGATTCAAACCTTAAAATACAACCTGGAATGGTTAACTAGGTCACTCAGACTATTGTTAAAATGTCTTTAAAAAGCAGTTTCAGGTCTGAGGTAACCACCCATTCTAAGTATGATGTGTCCTAACTAGCTGGCGAGCTGCCATGTACTGTCACCTTGGCACTTACAACCTCTCTCTTCTTTCTCCTTTTAAAAAACTTTTTAAAATTTATTGCGGTGACATTGGTTAATAAGATTATTTAGGTTTCAAGTATATGAATCTATGATCCATTGAATGCAAAACCATTTAAAGAAATTTCTGCTAAAGGCCCATTTCTTTTTTTTTATTTTTTTTTTTATCCTCACCTGAGGACATTTTTCGATATTTTGTTCAGATAGAGTGAGAGGGAGAGAAAGAGAGAGAAACATCCACGTGAAAGCGACACATCGAGTGGCTGCCACCCACACGACCCAACCAGGGCTGGGGACAAACTGCAACCAAGGTACGTGCCCCTAGCAGGAACCGAACCCGGGTCTCTCCGGACCACAGGCCGACACTCTAACCGCTGAGCCAAACCGGCCAGGGCTAAAGGCCCATTTCTTTAAAATGAAAGACCTACCTGCATACATTTAATGAACTAAGCTATTGTTTCCACATTCAGTATTAACGATGAGGGTGTAGCGAGTGGCCCATGTTACTGTCAGAACCTTCATGACCAGAGGAAAACATAGTATCATGTGCAGAAGGATACATTCTGGGGTGTCGGATGGGGGAGTGATACACACTATAAACTTGACCCGGGACTCTTGAGAAGATGTGAAGTATCTGGGCTCCTGTGGCAGGAGGGTGAAGAGGCTATGGGGTTGGGAGGGGACCGGAGGGGAAGCCTGCACCCAAGGAGATGTTCTCGTGGGTGGAGTAAGTTCTTTATTCTAGAACTGGGGGTGGGGTGGGGTGTCCCTCAGCCTCCAGCCATCCCAGATAGTAACCTAGAGTAGGGACAGGCCCCAGAGGAGGAGCAGCGGATCTCATCGCAGAATCGCCATGTCTCAGTGGGTCGTTACCACGATAATTACGGTAAGACCCCAGTCTGCATGCAGGGTGCGCCCTGCCCCAGATACGCAGCCTCCAGCGCCCCACTGTGGATGGACAGCAGCGTGAGTCTTCGCGACTATTCATTCCGACCACTCCTTGACACAGGACTCAACCGGGTGGCTTGAAACAGCAGGAGTTTATTCAGTCAGTTCTGGAAGTCAGACGTCCAACGTCAAAGTGCCGGCAGGGTCCTGCTCCCTCTGAAACTGCGGGAGAGTCTCTCCTCGCCTCTTAGCTCCTGCTGGTGGCCGTCGGTCTTGGGCTTGTAGCTGCATCACTCCAGTCTCCACCTGTTGTCACCTGACGTCCCCTTGTCTCTGCTTTCTCCTCTTCCTACTGGTCAGGTCGGCTGAAGGGCCCACCTCACTGTGGTATGACCTCAACGTAACTAACTACACTTGCAGAGGCCCTATTTCCAAATGAAGTCACATTCAACATTGCTTTCGGGGGACACAATTCACCCCATCACAGGGATCCAGGCAGTTTACCTGGCCGTGCCCTTCAGTGGCACTGGACTAAACAGCGTGGAAGGAAGCATCTTGTCTCTGGAAGGAAGACAGTGACGGTGACCTTGACATTTGCCTCCGAGTCCATCTTCAACATGTGCCTATGGTCAGGCCATTGCCTGCCTCCCTACTCTGTCTAGAAACATCTTTAACTCTCTGTGACATTGGCTGGCAGTCACCTCTTGGCCTAGGACGCTGTGCCTTAAATTTGACCCCATGGCCAGCTGTTACCTTGCATGGACTGTTTATTGGTTCTTAGACTCCCCATGGGGCCTGGCTCATGCCCCCTGCAGCCCTAGTCCATTGGCCCATCTGAGGGAACACTGGGCCCATCTGAAGGGCCAAACAGGGACCATCCCTTCTGACGTCTCTGCGTATCCATCTCCCTAAAAGTGCTATATTACTTTACTTGGCAGCTCAGCTTAAAGAGTTATGATTTCGGGAGCCACAGGCTTTGTGTGGTCCACCTTGTGACCTTGTGACCACCCTCCATCCGGAGCCTCGTCAGTTACTTATCGATGCCTAAAACGACCTTACAGAGGAATGGGCTTTCCTCCAGCAAACGTCTGTTGTGCTATATGACATTAGGAACGAAAGACCTAAGGTGTCTGATTAAAATTCAGGCATACTGAATAAAGCATAATATTTAAAACAATCCAGAGCTAGATGTAGAGATCAAACAACTGTAATAAGAGTAACTTCCGTTCATTGAACCTCTGTGTGTTCCCAGTGCCAACACAGCCACGTTACAACTATCCCACGTGGTATGTTGTATTTTCCTAATTTTAGTCTATAATAAACCACTGGACATGGTGTAAAATAATCAACTGAAAATATCTGATGACACATCTGGAAAAATATTTTTCTGCCTATGATTTGTAGAATATCACTTTCCAATTAAGAATCTCTTTGTTTTTCTATTTATTCTCTATCTCTAAAGATATATCCTTTTATCTTTTTTTTTTTTTATCCTCACCTGAAGATATTTTTTGCATCTATCATCAGACAGAGTGGGAAGGAGAGAAGGGGGAAGAGAGAGAGAGAGAAACATCGATGTGAGAGAGACACATCGAGTGGTTGCCACCTGCACAACCCTAAGCGAGGCTGGGGACAAACTGCAACCAAGGTATATGCCCTTAGTGGGAACCGAACCCGGGACTCTCTGGTCCATGGGCCAACGCTCTAACCGCTGAGCCAAAACCGGCCAGGGCCATATACCTGGATAGATATATATATTTAGTCATTTTCAACATGTCCCTCAGTTTATTACAAGCACATTATTCAATATTTTACTTAAGAGAATTTTATAGGTACTTCTAAAATATCTTGGTTGGTTGGTTATAGAAATTATCCTCAGCCTACTGTTTTTAAAAATGTTATCTAAAGAGAGGATTAAAATCGAATGTGTCTGACTACAAAACATACTTCACTAAAAAAAGTCTTTAATGCAGCCCTTGCAGGAGTAGTAGTGACATATGTACACAAACTACATGTCAGTTTACTTCACAGCCTTATGCTGGAATCAACTGGCAAAGATGGCCACATGCATTTTAATATAAACATTAAATATTATAGACTTTTAAGATTATAGAATATCTTTAAAAGCTTAATTCAAAGAAATCCCTTTTTCAACAGCTTTGAAAATGTATTTACTTAGGTTCGATTAACCAATTCTCATTTTTCTAGATTTCATTTTTAACAGAAGATAATGTGCTGGCCTCTCCGTTTGCAGCCTACGACCCACCGTACAGAGGCCTCGGACGCCGGGGAGAGACGCCGGGCAGAGGCGCGCACCACAGCAACACGCCAGGACCACCGGCTGGCGCTGTGCGAGGCTGTGGTGCTGGTGGCCGGGAGCTCCGCACATCCTCCTGTTTGGCCTGATCATCCACTTGATTAACAGATGGTTAATAGGATCATCGGCAATTCAGAGTAATGTTTCTAGATGCCAAAAGTGAAAACTCAATGTATGGACTTATTTCTATAAATGCTTTATAAGATACGTTCATGATATCTAGGAAGCCCTAATTAGATCATCAAAAAACTGAACACGTGCTGACGTGGTGGTGGGTGGTCAGGTCCTGGTCGGTGGCACTAATCTCGATAAAGCGGTGTGGGTGATTCCCATGTTTTACATCCTTTTCGGGAAGTAAAACATTAAAATCAGGACATTCCAATCTGCTATTACAACTCCTCTGAGTTTTTTTTTTTTGTTTTTTTTTTTTATCCTCACCCGAGGACTTTTTTCCATTTTTTGTACAGATAGAGTGGGAGGGAGAGGGAGGAAGAGAGAGAGGGAAACATCGATGTGAAGGGACACATCGAGTGGCTACTACCCGCACAACCAACCAGGACCAGGAACAAACTGCAACCGAGGTACGTGCCCTTAGCGGGAACCGAACCCGGGTCTCTCCAGACCACAGGCGGACGCTCCAACTGCTGAGCCAAACCGGCCAGGGCATTTTATATACTTACTTACTTACTTACTTATTTGTTTATTTATTTATTTATTTTTGGTACATGCCCCTAATGGGAACTGAACCT